AAGGCCAGTGAAAGGAAGGGGAAGGCAACTGGGCGAGATTAAGGCAACTATTGGACGAGAGGAGGAGCAATGGGGGAGGTAGGGACGCGACTACCGTAGGACTACATGATTCCTTACGCGTATTGGGTGAAGAAGATGGAAGCAACCGAACTACTATGGGCCAGACGCTTGTCTCTATAGGATACTATAGACAGATAACTACCCAGGCCTCGGTACGAGATCTCCGGTTGAACCTTACGAGAACGAGTACCCGCTTGAAAATCCAGGAAATTACGGAACCCCTTTGTAACTTGTACAGACGCGTGCAAGCAGGACGAGCACTGCAGTGCTGTTTGCTTGGAGCACGTTTTCTTCACCAAGGTAAAACGATCTAGGGCCCAGCAAGAAAGAGAGGAAGTCTTTTGATCCGGTTATTGCTCTATAATTGTATCAAGGGATGCACAAAAAGTGTTGCAAGGAACGCGAGATTATGAGAAACAGAAAAGAGTTTGCTAATCGTAGACCTGAGGTCTCCCTTAGGTCTCCGCTGGAGACCTAAATCACAAAAAGGTACAGCAATTTTTCTCATTGTCATAATTTTTCAAAGATTTTCCAAATACTTCTTCTACTCCATGTTTCGCATCTTTAAGTACATTTTGGTGGATGTTCATTGCCTACTCGCCAAGAAAAACTGGTTTATATGGATATTGTAAAATTTTTGAATTTTTCCCGCAAATGCACGCAGACATTGAGTCCGTATTGGAGCATGTTTCTGAACGGTCACAGAATGTGTATAGAATTGAATAGTAAGAGAAATGTTGGAGAGCTTCAACATTCTTCTTGTCAGGAAAGCAGTCAGACTTGATAATAAACTCCATATTCCAACTTGAACCCTGTACGATTTCCCCTTTGCTTTTTCCACCAAAACGAATTCCAGCTTGCCCTGCGGAAACCCGCTGAGATCTGTGACTACCCATGGTCATCGGCGTCTCTCCTGATTTTCACTCGTAGAAATCCGAATGTGACGTCGTTCCGCCCAGGCAGCATCTCGCTCGGTGAAAGTGTTTGGAAGCTCATTGTCTGTTCTTTATTGTTTAGGTGATGCATGGCAAGAAACGCTGATGGGGATAAAAGCAAAGATATAAGCGTAACGCAACACATAGATATACACAACACACACTTACAGACAGAATAATGTTAGCATAAGTTGTGATATATGTTGCAAAATCTTCTATGAACAGTACTTTGAAGTGTGTTTCTTCCATTTTCTCACCTCTAACATGTAAACCATTTGCAACACACGAAGGATGGAATGCGTTCCGAATACCATTTAACAGACGAACTTAGCGAAATGTGTTCCACTGTCGTTTCCTGAGCACATATACGCATATACTAGCATTTAAGGAAACTTTCTTCCATTGGGCTAAAATAATTTTGCGTGATCTCTAAACCTATTTCTGGTCTATTAATCCTTATTCATCCGCTTATTAAAATCTCTTTTTTTCCCAATTTAAAAGCCTAGAAATGAAATATACCGAGAACAACATTCCAAACTGTTGCCTTTTAATTGCTGCAAAAAGTTAATAAATGTGTTAAGTTCTTTTTCTACTTATAGAGAAGGCAAAATGCCCTGTAGTAGTAACGAGTGGTTCAAGTTTTTTATCTCAAGACGTTACACACACCGTTGGCCCATTCGAATTCGAAGGACGCTATTTGGCAGTTCAGCATCCCATGTTTTTTTGCGGAACTTTAACGGATTACCTTCTTTACCTTCAAAGTATGCAAAGTACGCGCTCGATAAGTATATCCTAAGAAGTGGCTGTACGATTTCCTCAAGATAAGACGCGCGTTTTTTTAAGCAAAAGTATCGAAAAAAGAAAAATTAAAAACATGTTCTAAACCATAAACATTTAATTTGTTGTTGCCATTTCAAAAATTGTTTGTTGAATTTCAAGAAGTCGCAGTCGCTAAAAATTACACAAAAACATAGGTGCCAAACTGGCTATTTTTGTCAATGACATTTCTTTCCTCACTCAGAAAACAGAAGAGGCGAATGACTTGGGGAAACAACAGGTTTTGTAGAGCAAAAGAAACTTCGTACAGCATTTACTTTAACATTGTTCCATTTCGTTGAAAAAAGTTAGAGGTAATTAGTGGTCTTAACTTCTAAATATATTCTCATGAAATTCTGAAAAGGATTATACGTGTGTCAGAATGTTTTTATATCAAATCAAAAGCATTTCTGCATAAATTACTGAATTGAATGTGATTACTTGTTAGTTAGGAAAAAATTTTGTAAAATTTTCTTTTCTAATGAGGAGAGCCGGAACAAATGTCTCCTAAAACAGTTAGCTAAAAAAATTCTTTTTCAAGTAGTATTGAAGATAAAGGGAATGTCTGAACTTAAGAAAAGTGCTTACATAAGCTGATTTTTTTTTGTTATTTTTGTAGGTCACATCATCAGGAGTTATTACTCTATCATTACTTTAACACTCTTATAGGAAAATTTGCACGATTATTCGGAGTCAAATATAGTTTAGCCGC